CGCTTAGCAGCCAAGCCGGCCCGGCGCAAGGCGAGCTCGGGCCGGGGCGCGAGGGCGCGCGGGCCGCCGCCGTGGTCGTTCGCTGCCCTCCGGCTCCGGCGAGAACTGTCTTTACCGCCTCCTCCAACCTGCCCTGTCCTCAGCATCCTCCTCCAGCTCCTCCAGAGCACCTCCAAAGCACCTCCCCCTCACGCCCCACCCGCGGGAACAAGGCCTCGGAAATTCAGGGGAGTGGCTGTGGGGGCGCGTCGCGGCTCCCAGCTCGGCCAGCCCCTCTGCCAAGACATGGTCTGATCCCCATTGTAAAAGCTGCGCCCCGAACAGGAGAGAGTGGTGTTCCCGGCTTGGGGTTGCAGGAATATCTTGGTGGTGAAGCTTTTGCATTATTGCTGGGTGGGGCGGGGAGGGGCCTGAATTTTGGGAGTGTGTGGGGAGGGGGGGGGCTGGCGGGGAGGAAGACCCGAGGTGGGGAAAGGACTCTGTGGGGAGTCGGTGAGAGACTATGGGGAAGGACCAGGAGCTGCTGGAAGCTGCTCGAACTGGAAATGTGGCTCTGGTGGAGAAACTCCTGTCTGGCAGGAAAGGAGGGATCCTGGGCGGTGGATCCGGACCCCTGCCCCTGTCTAATCTGCTAAGGTAAGGACGGGAGCCTGCTCGGGGATTGCATACCTCGTTATGTATTGTGATGAGTACATTCTCCTCCTCATGGTATTTGCAGCTGGTGGCTGCCAGCGATTCATTCTTAAATTAGGTAGGAAAACAGACTGTGTGTATGGAGAGGAGGCATGAGTCTCCCAGTCAGGTTGATGCCTTAGATTCTTTGAGTAATTTTAAAATAGCCTTCCATCAATGCGTCAGTAGCTACTTTTTTTCTGAGCTATGGTGCAGAACTTGTACATGTACTAGTGTTGCTTGAAGAAAATCGGCTCCCCACTCTCTTTCTATAGATGCTTATTACATGTTTTCAGTATCAAACCTAGCCTTTTTTTTTTTTTTTTGGTCTGTTTAAATGGAATTGGCAGAGAAGCTACTGCGTGCATGCAGTTACCCTGCAAAAGCCACAGCCTTTGGTTGCTGCTACATTCTCTTGCAGAAGGCATTTGCTCTGCGGTTGGTTGTGATCTCACAAACGAAGAAAGTGAACCTTCTGATGAGATGTCATCAGTAAAGGGTGTGTGTAAAACTTGATGAGGCAGGTTGGGCAGCCCCAGCAGTACTGTCAGTTATCTGGATACAGCTGAGTGAAACTTGGTTATTATATCTTAGGATAAAGGATGTCAAGTCAGAATTGGGGTAGTGTGTATGGATTATAGTAGAGGCCTTTTAATGTGAAGATGTTGCAGCTGAGATTAATATTGATTGGAGAAACTTTCTAAGATGACATTTAAAAAATGTCAAGGTATTCACCAGGCTGTACCTTAGAAATAGCATGATTGATTAGCATATTTGAGAAACTATTAACTTAAAAGTTGACTTGAGCAAATGAATCAAATGAGAGGGAGGAGCCTTAAGAATAAAACAGATAAAATTCAAGGAAAGATCTTTTGTTTCTAAGATCATGGCTATTCAGTTTATCCTGGATATTTTTTAAGGCATCAATCATCATTCATATCCTCACTCTGAAACATCTCTTAAGCAATACAACTAGTAAAAATTTTAAAGAGCTCAATTGATTTTCTTGTTTTTTTTTTTTTTTTTAAAACTATTCAGTGCTACTCTTGACAAGTGCTTAATACAAACTTTTGGGTGATGACATTGTGATCTTTACACAAGTTCCCATGTGTTGTAGTGGCCAGACCATGCAATTACAATACTGGCTAATAGGGAAAATGAAAACATTTATATGACAGTGAGATACATTTAGTTGGAAGATAGTCAATGGGATTAAAAAAGTTCCATATATTTGACAGTGACATTGTATTGCAGTGACAGTTCACTTCAGAACAATGAATGTTTACAGGACATTTTTTCAGTAGATCTTAGAAGTAATAACTCTTGTGTGTACTCCCTTGTTAAATAATTTTCATTTTCAAACACAAGTAGACAGTGTGTATGTATTTCAGAATGTAGTTTGTATAAAACCAGTTTATCTGCTTACAGTTTTAAGTGACAGGTAAAAGAAATATTTTTGCTAGTGGATCACATTAGTGATAAAAATAATTATGACCAGAAACCTAAATGCTGAAAGAAGCTTATGAAAAGAATCAATTCCTTTGGAAAAATACTAAATTCTTTGAGAACACAAAAAACTTCAGTTAATTCATTAAGATGAATGGTAATTTAAAAAGACTATCTTTGTGACACATCTTAAAGGGAAATTTGTAAAAAATACTCCTTTCCCATTTTTTGAAAAAACTGATGATAAATTTTAGAAATAAAATACCAACTAATGATAAGTAGACAATAAATGAAACATCAGAATTGTGGACTCGATTTCACTTGGTTTGTCAGAGGTAGCACTGGTAGCTCTGCAACGTGAATGCATGTAGAAAACAATGAAATGTGGACATGGGTTCATTAGAGTAGTTTGAACCAAGTTATGAAACTAACAAACAAAATCAATAACCTTTAAACTTGCATTTTGTGTATCTCATATTGAATACAACTAAAACTGTGTCCTTGAAGAAAATGAGAGTTGAAATTGCATTCTTTGGGTGATTCTTTGCATAAAATGAAATTCTAAGAGGACACATTTTATTTAATTGTCACTTTATTTCACAAATGGTTGTCATCAGAAACTAATTTACAGGATAATGGAAAATGTGCTGCCTCACATCAAATATAATGACACTTAGGAATTTTTTAATATTTTGGAATGAATTATGGAATAGGTTTGACACTTTCCCCCCTATTTTATTACTTGTATAATAATAGTGTCAGACACTGTGCTAAACGCTTGCATGTATCATCTCATTGAATTCTTACATCAACCTTAAGAGGTCCAGCCTCATTTCACAGATGAAGGACTAAGAGATAGGAAGATTAAAAAGTTGCCCAAGGTTGCACAATTAGTAATAGCAGAGATTTGAAATTCCGTGATTCAAATTTGCTTTACCATGCCTTATGTCCTATTCATTGAATCTACTTTGTTCACAAAAGTTTAAGGTACGCGGACAATTTAAATAGTCCAGTCTGAACCTTTTATCTAGGAATAATAATTTAATTTAAAAATTCTTCTTCTTAGTTTTGCTAATTAAAAAAATCTCATGACTGCCCTTTATGAGATCATGAGTAAGAACTTTTCTGAAGATGTTTCATTTACATATTACCTACTAAGTTAATAGTAGCTTTATTATGGGGAATCAAGTATGCTTGTGTGACACTGCAATTTTTGGCAAAAGCAGTAATGAACTTGAATAAATTTAAAAAACTTCCTAAGCCTCACTTTCCTCTTCTATAAGGGGGATAATTGTAGTACGTGTCATATAGGGTTGTTATAAGGATTAATGAGGCATAAAGTAATGAAAGTAAGGCATTTAGCACATAGGTGTTCATGATTAGTGTTACTGTCATTTCTCATGCATCTCCATAGCACTTCACTTTTTTTCTTAAGGCCTCATTTAGTAAAGATCTGCTTGGTGTTCGACTGGGAGTAAATTTCTGTGAGAAGTTTTCCGTAGAATCATAGACTCTTCAAATAGGAAGAAGTCTTTTTATCCAACTTCTGACCTAGTGCAGAAATTGCCTCTGCAGCATCCCTTACTAATTAGTTATTCTAGCCTTGTTTAAACCCTCCAATGACTAGATTCATTCTTCTTTTAAAAAAAAAAAAAAAATTTTCCTTTTATTTTTTTTTTTTTGTTATT